CTTTAGCCTTTCAAAAAGAGAGGAAATTTCAATTTTGGTCATATGACTATGGGGTCTTGTTAATTTTAGTTCTTGATTTTTAAAAGTGTTAATTTAGTACCTTAATTATGTAATTTTTGTCAATTTTAGTCACTTCGGCTAAATTGCCGGCCAAATTTCACCGGAAAATTTTAATAGTTAAAATAATGAGGGCATTTTGGTCGTTTCACGTCTCTTTTCTTCTTCTCCGGCGAGTCCATCTCTTTCTCTCCCGTTTTCGGCGTTCTTTCTCCCTCTAAACCCTATCTTTAATATCATCAAGCCTCCTTTCCCCATCATCTTAGTTCACTGCATTCACTGGAAACGGGAGAGGGAGGGATAGACTCGTCTGAGAAGAAGTAAAGAGACGTGAAATGATCAAAATACCCTCATTATTTTAACAATTACAAATTTTTGGCGAAATTTGGCCGGCAATTTGGTCGGAGTGACCAAAATTAACAAAAATTGCATAGTTAAGGTACTAAATTGATACTTTTAAAAGTCAAGAACTTAAATTAACAAGGCCACTATAGTCATATGACCAAAATTGAAATTTCCTCCTTTCAAAAAAAAGGATAGTTAGCAAATGAACCGCTCGACTTGTTATGCGCTTAATAAAAGAGAAATACACACGAGAAAAAAAATTTCACTATTTTTTTTACATCGTCTAGAATCAGATCAAAAGGTGAAATCATTTGGTCATATCCGAGACTTTGAATAACTTGAAAATAGTTCAATCCGTTTTCACTTATATGTAGTCAAAATTTATTTCCTTTAGCCAGCTCAGCTCAATCTTCTTTTTACTGCCCTAGCATTTGCTTAGGGTACCGTTAGAAGTGATAAACTTTCCATGTTCATCCTTAATACACACCTAAATCCCATCTTCTAATGATAAATATACTCTTAAAATGTAAAACTATCCTAATATGTTTTGGTTTTACAACAAAAAAAAATAATAATAATAAAATTATTGTGTCCAACTTTCTATTTTTTTCTTAACTCGTCAAAACATGTTACATCAACAATGATTAAAAATTTGAATAAAACATGAGGTATATATAATATTATTTATTTGAAAATCACATAAACCATAAATCCATAAAAGTGTATGTCGGCTACTTGCTTGGCTAGCTAGTAGCTACCACTAGATGTAAAGCGAAGTGAAGAATCAGAATCTGATTCCCAATATGCTTTGCAATAAATTGGAGGAAAAATGGTAATTTATACATTTCATATCAATTATTAATGCCATTCTTAAATTATTAGTGGTGTAAATATTTAATGTTATGATTATTATCTCTTAATTTTTACAACGTGACATCTATTATTTTTTTTCATGAATTATTAGTGATGTAAATGTAATTACTTGTCCTTTTTCCTGTTCGAAGATAACATTTTTTTTCCTCCATTTTTCTTTATTCGTTTGTTCTCCTTCTGATGTTTCTTCTTCTTCAATTCTTATTAGGGGAGGGACAATATATATCATGTTTTGAAAATTGAAGACAATATTTTCACCACTAATAATTTAGGGGAGACATTGATAATTGACATATTCGTGAATGACATAAATTACAATTTTCTCTAAATAGAATAAGGCTCGAATTATTCGCCAAATTGTAATTGAGTTCTTAAATAATTCAAAATTATGTAATTAAACAAAAATTAACATGTTTTCTCGGTCTTAACGGAATAGCAATCATTCAATAAAAATTAATTTTTAAATAAAATTAAATTAAGAAAGAAAAAAAGATATAAGGGTCAAATATACCATCAAACTACACACCAAAGTCCAAATTGTAATTAGGTCACTGAATTAAAAAAAAAAAAAAAAACAAAACTATATTTAGATCCTTGAACAACACAAATTTATACAATTTAACCTAAAATGACTTGTTTATCTGTTAATGTGCTGATTTGTCGATTCTTTTTTATTTAAAAATAATCTTTAAAATTTTATTTTAATAATTATAAATAAAAAATTATTGAAAAAAAGCCCCCATGACTTGCAAGAGACGAAGGGTCCACAATTTGAAGATGAATTATTAAAATAATTCAATAATACTTAATAACTCTTTCCGTTAATCGTCGTCACTGTGCGCAAAGTTTAAAAATATATCATTTTTTTTAGTGATAGAAAAAAATTCCCAATCACAATTTAAGGTGTGCATTGATTTAACACTATCTTGTGACTCTAGTCTACAAAAAAAGCTACTAGGCCTATAATTACCTACCTCAAACTAAGAAAATTTATAGATAGCTCCTACTAAGAGCATCCACAATGGTTGGGGAGAATTGGGAGATAATGTAAGAGTGATTAGGAGAGAGAATGTGGGGAGGAGAGGAAAAAAAAAACAAAAAAATCAAAAATTAAAAAACAAAAAAAATAATAAAAAAACTAAAGGGTCAGGCGCGCCTGACGCGCCCGTGTGGGCGGGCTGCTGTGCGCATTCTTTTTTTTTTTTTTCTCTTTCTTCTTTTTCTGCCATTCTCCCCAATTTTGCAGGATGAATATTTCCACAATTAACCCCACCCCACATTTGTTATCATCCCCATTGAGAAGAATTCATTCTGAAATCTCCCCATAATATGCACAAGTGTGGATGCTCTAAGAATCAAACTTGTAATCTTATGATTATCGAGCCAACAAACCTGAATTATTTCGTTAACCGTAGTAATGTGCAAGTTGGGAGGTGCAATCCTGATGGGACTCTTTTGCAATTATTGGGGAGACAGGGGAGTAACAGTCAACGTCCGCTAATAACCAAAGCATCATTCAATTTCGTACTCTAAACTCAACCAGGCAGAACTTTCCTCCGTAATATACATAATTCAATATTTCAATCTGTGTGTGCGCTCTGTGAAATGCTCATGTCTTGGGTAAACTATCCTACGACCAAAGTTCCTTCACGTGTCTTCTGCCACACCAACAAAGATGCCAATTTCCTCCCCAACCATAACCACATAGGAATACACAGAAACCCTTCTAACTTGTTTCCTAGGAACTGCGTGAATTTCTCAACTGACCCAATTGTCTCTCTACCAACCAATCTTGCTTCAGTAATGGATGAACCCAAGAATTTGGGGATTGGGTCTGTCACTTCTGACCCAAACGACAAGTATTCCAGAGAGCTGGGAGTTGCAGTCAGAGCTGTGCATATGGCATGCTTGCTCTGCCAGAATGTCCAAGAAAATTTGATTTCTCAAGGCTCTCAGCAAGTCCACTCCAAGGATGACAATTCTCCTGTTACAATTGCAGGTAATTTGGGTTGTGTTGTGTTGTGTTTATCCTTTTTGGATTAGTTTCAGGTTTCTTGAAAATGGGCATTTTTTAGTTTTTGTTAAATCTGTCTTTTCTGTGAAAGTTATAATTTTTCTTAATTCTTTTGGTTACTTCATGATGTAGAGCTTATATTTTTCAGCATATAATATATACAATAAAAATGTGTAATCTCACGGTATGGTTAGACTTTTAGTTGAGACAGAACGTACCTTTTAATTTGATATTAAAGCCATTGTGGAAGGTCGTAGAGGTACTATGTCCATGTTTTTCTTGGCCTGTCAAAAAAGTTATTAGTATCACTCCCTGTGGTCAAATAGTTGCTTAATCAGTTCAAAGATTCCAGCAAATCTTACATTATTACATGTTGCAGATTGGAGTGTTCAGGCAACTGTGAGTTGGGTACTTTCTGAGGCTTTTGGTAGTGAGAATGTATCTATTGTTGCTGAGGAAGATGTTGAAGAGCTCTCCCAGGCTGGGGCAACTGGGCTACTAGACGGCGTGGTGAAAACAGTGAACGAGTGCCTGGCTGATGCACCGCGTTTTGGACTGACAGCACCAGCTTTGGCTCTAAGTGCTGAAGAGGTTCTGGAAGCCATTAACAGGTGCAACCCCTCGGGGGCGAAGAGCAGCAGATTTTGGGTGTTGGATCCTGTGGATGGTACGTTGGGGTTTGTACGTGGAGATCAATATGCCATTGCTTTGGCGTTGATAGAAGATGGAGTGCCAGTTCTTGGAGTTCTTGGCTGTCCAAATTACCCAATGAAGAAGGAATGGCTTCAGTATCATAACGGATACCAGAGAATTCTGTCCAGGTTGAGTTCACCAACATCTGAACCTTGGGATAAAGGATGTGTGATTTATGCGAGAAGAGGCAGTGGCAATGCCTGGATGCAACCTCTCCTTCGCGGTGAAAAGAACTTTATTTGGCCAAACTCCGCTGCACAGATTGAAGTATCCTCCATTGATAACCCTGCATTGGCTACTTTCTGTGAGCCAGTTGAAAAGGCGAATTCTAGCCATTCTTTCACAGCAGGGCTTGCTCACAGTGTTGGACTTAGGTGAGCCATTACATCTATTATATACACTCTGAAATAATATAACAATAATTATCAAAACCCGAAAGCTATGGTAGTTCAACTATATGCAACTGCATACCTTTTTCTGCAACAAGGCTCAAACTCCAGTGCTTACAGTTGCGCGTGTGTTCTGTATTCACAGGAACCAACCACTACGCGTGTACAGCATGGTAAAGTATGCAGCCATAGCCCGAGGAGATGCTGAAGTATTCATGAAATTTGCCAGGGCGGGTTACAAAGAGAAGATATGGGATCATGCAGCCGGAGTTGTTATCATTGAGGAAGCTGGAGGCATGGTCACTGATGCCAGAGGAAATCCACTGAACTTTTCAGAAGGCATATACTTGGAAGGCCTTGATCGAGGAATAATCGCTTGCTCTAAGGCTACACTGCACCAAAAGATCATCAGTGCCGTTGATGCTAGCTGGAATTCCTCTTGCCTGTGATTTAAATTCTGCACGGTGAGTTCTGAGTTCTCCATTGCAACTCTGCTTCTTTAACATCAGACAACTAGACAAGTACTGCTGTCAGCTTAACATGATTCATTGAGTAGAATGGTAGCATTCATTATTCGTTTTTTGGAACCTGAATTAGTTTTATGCATAGCATATAGAAGCAGGATTATGATGAGGTCGAGAAAGAGATGTATAAAACACAAATCAGTTGAATGAACATATCCACAAATACAGCAAGTATAATTGCTGTTTTGTTCTTTAAAGCAGTTTTGATCAAAGTGTAACACACATCACCACAAGAGACTATGCAATTATGAAAATATAACAAACTTCATTTCCCTCGAAAACTGAGAAGTATGATTGTCCCAGTGCAAAACTATCATATTGCTGCCCTCAAGGCTCCTGTTGTAGCCGCCTGTTTCATCTCTGCAGCTTTACCACTGCCTCTGAAGTACATGTATACTTGCTGCAAATTTACGCAGAAACAACATCAATGATTTTGCAAAAAAAACCATCAATGAAAATAATGAAATTGTAAATGAATAGATATTCCAAGAAGAAACATAAATGGAGTATAGGAGTCATACCTGAATAACCCAAACACTAAGCACCGACTCGAAACAAAATAGCCCAAAACCAATGAAGTAGAAAACCTATAAGATGAGAGCAAAAATGAGCATGTTAATAGGTTTTGGTGTTTATGCAGGTTTCTGAAAAACAGTCGATTTTGTGACTTTGTCCTTTCCCTATGCCCCAACTGTCCCAGAAGAGTTAGGGTGGTAGATATATAAGACAATATATGGTCAAGCAAACCGTGAAAACTTACCCCAACAAGTATTTGCTTGCCAATAAGATCTACTGCAGGAAGGATACCTCTGTTCCAAAAATACATCCAAGGTCAGACCATTGGCAAAAGTGCAAAATGGATAAAATGTACTTCAGTGTCAACCATAGACAACACAAATTTCCCCATTAATGGCACATCCTTTAAGTAATTACAATTACAATTGAGAAATCATAGCAAGCACATTAGATTTCATATAATTTTACGTTAACTCCCACCTTTTAAAGGGGTATTGAAGCGCACAATATTCTTTTACTGACCTTACTGCATGTTTAATATCTATTAAACAAGGAACTAATCAGTATATGAACCATGCATGACATGAAATCATGAATGATCAAGTAAATTTGTGTCTCATTGCATAAATAAAAGGGTTTTGCTTTATTTAGATGACTTCTTTTTGGTAATTGCCAATGTTTAACTGCAAAGCATTATATATTGAGACAGTTGGAATCTCATTATGAGATGCCAAGAAGTCAAAAGAACTTACGTTAGAGACTTTCCTTTGAAAACCACTGGAGGAGCAACTGCAGCAAAGATGCAGAACACAAGGTGAAGCTGCATAGAGGGTCAAAATGTGAGAAATATCCTCCAAGCTCAGCAGAAACTTGGATTGAAACCGGGGGGAATTTTAACACCAGTGGAAGGAACTTACTGAATAAAACAAGAAAAACCACCCAAACCTAAAAGCACTTTCAGACCTGCAACATCAACAAAAGTAGCACCTCCAAAAATGAGTTGAACAATTCTCGTACCGACTAGGAAAGAAGGAAAATCAAGTTCACATAGTGAGAGAACTAGAGGCAGCACTAGCACTAGTTACAATTTCATCCAAGCAAGTAGATCACCATAATAAATATTAATGTGGTGGTGTATTTTTTAAAATCTGAAAAGCACATTCTGCCAAAACAAGTTAAACTTTCCAGTGAGAAATGGAGCATTTACCTAAAAGCACGATAGAGTGTACGATACCATAGAACATAGGCTCCTGGGACACCTAAGATGAAGTAGATGATAGAAAGCAACCAGATTGTTGCATCTACCCAAAAAAAAAAAAAAAAGGTTTCAGGTTAGCATACATACAACATGTAGAGGCACAGAAAGCACTCCATAGACAGTGTCAGGTCTAGACAAACCTCCCTCTTTAATCCATGCAGTAGTGACAGCTATTATATTCCATAAAAGACATGCATAAAGCCCTGCTTGCCACCAACATACTATCAGTGCGTGTACATATAAAAAATAAATAAATAACAATAAAAGAGCCAAATGAGCAGTGTAAATAGATTGAAAACTTTGTGCCGGAGACTTCTCTATGGCAATGCACAGAAATTATTAAATTCTAAACAACCCATCAAGGCTAATTAAAGAGACAGACTTGATGTAGTAAATAAAAATTGGCATACCCAACAAGGTTGTAAAAGCAACATATTGCAGCTTTTGTAGATGAATAGGTATTTCATTGGCAATATCATGATGGATTATTGGGAAGAATGGTGGCCAGTTCTTCTCCTCAAGAGCAATACCAGCTGAAAAGCAAAGAGGATACTTGGACTCATTAAATACTGAGAAGACCATAAAATGCTTAACTGCAATATATAATTGATAAGAAAGGAGAAAGGAACTGAAATGAGAGCAAAAGAGCACCTCTTCCAGCAGCATCTGCTTTCCGCTTCAACTCCTACATAGCAGAAATGAAACAAATAATGAATATTTGTACATCACATATAAAGTGCATGAATCCCAGTCTCAATATCCCATTGAAGGATTCTATAGGCCATCAGCTCCCACCCTTCTCCCATAGCCTAATCCCGTCCACTCACAAGTTTTAACAGGGCCACTAGGAAGTCTTTACTAAACCTCTTCTTAGGTCCAAACCACATGCCATTATATCATATTATGCTTGTTAAGATATTATGGCATTTCACCAAGTGGATGAACTCTGATACATTGAAAAAGTATAATAATAAGAATAAGATGTAGAGAAAGAGTAGTCAGTAGATGGCAGCCATTTCTAGGAAGTAACAAGAAGAAAACCACAATGTCTACATTAAGCACATGTAGAACTCCAAAACATTGCCCTACTGTAACTTTTTAATCATTTGTTTTCTGCAAGTCTGCAACAGCTAATCCACACTACAAATGATGTATTATTTCAAGCTCTACAACTACTCAAGAACCAAAAGAGCCTAATGTGTAAAGTGTAAAATCCATCAATAAAATATATACACAGAAACCTTGTAACTAATACTGCCCCAACAAGAAACTTACATCCCTTCAAATGCAAATGCATTATTAAATGTTCATTAACATATACCTGTTCCCTCCTACTCAGTTCAGCCTCTTTAGCCTGCAACTCTGTCTCTTTCTGTTTTAAATCCTGTATTTAACATCTACTTCAATATAAAATGTCACCAGGAAATTCACAAGAAATCAAATATGTTGAATACTCTTGTATATTCATCAATTCTCAAATATTTCACAAACCGCAGCACTATCTAGTGAAATATCAACAGAGCCATTATTATAGAAACCAGCCGGATCAGGGGAGTTTGTAGCAGGAGGAACCCTCCCAGTGCCCTGCAAAGTTAAATATGTTACTGACAGAGATAATCATAAAAAAGTAGAACCCCTGCTCATCTAATTATCGACTAAATAGTAAACACATCCTAAATCCTAGTCATAGAATTCAGCACTAAAATCAGCATAAAATTACACTCCCTGTTCATATAATTATCAACTAAACACATCCTAAAGCCTAATCACCGAATTCAGTACTAAACTCAGCATAAAATTACACTCCCTGCTCATCTAATTATCAACTAAACACATCCTAAAGCCTAATCACCGAATTCAGTACTAAACTCAGCATAAAATTACACTCCCTGCTCATCTAATTATTGACTAAACGCATCCTAAAGCCTAATCACCAAATTCAGTACTAAATTCAGCATAAAATTACACTCCCTGCTCATCTAATCATTCTGTTCATGCACATTCAGGCTAAAGACAAATGTATGCAAGTACTCACACAAATACTTGTGTATAGCAACAAATCGTCCGATAGCGAGGTTGAAATACGAATCGTAATCTTAAAATGAACTTAAGAACACACAGATAAGCGCGAACACATGCACAAATACATATACACACATTACATATAGAGAGATAGGAAAGATGGCAGGGAAGGAGAAAGAGCATACGGCGAAAGGATTAACTTCATCGTCGTCGCGAGGGTTGCGATCGTAACGGCCAGCCATTTCAGCTCAGTTTTCACTTAGCTTCAGTAGCTGTCAAAAGTAACACTCAGAAAAACAGAGAAAATTTGGAGACAATTAGTCAATTATCAGACTACGGAAATTCAGATATAGGAATTTCAAAAAGTTTACTCCTTTTTTTTTAAACCGTCAATTATACAAAAATAGTATAAAATTTTCAAATTTTAAATTTTTTAAAATAATTAATGCAATTTTAAATTTTTGAATATAATTTTCGCAATGTATATTTTACAAAAAAAACTGCAAATAAGTCAATATTAAGGGAATCGACTGAAATGTAAAACTAACTTTCTAAAATTCTCAAAATATGAGGTGCTGAAAATTGGACGAAATTATGAAAAAAATGTTTGGGAAATGCGTTTTTCACATTTTCTGGTCAACACATGAAATGCAAGTGGGACTTACGTTTTTTTTTTTTTTTTTTTTTTCTTCCGCATGAAGTGAGTCAACGAGTTCAAGCTGGCGGGATGAAGAAAACCAATGGTCCTTGAGGGTTTCAAGAATGGGTTCGGCTCAGAAACGTCGGGCAGTTTGGAGAAGGGTTTCAATGGAAACGGAGAATTGAGTTTTGTTAATTTCTCAAAAGGTTACCTGAGAATCGACTGATAGAGAAAATTTGGCGAGCATCGATACATTGTCGAGTGATATGGAGAGTTGGAGACGGAGAGAGCAGACGTTGGCCAAAGCTTGAAACCTTTTGATCACTACTAAGATCACTTCGATCGGTGGTGGTGTGACGGAAGTGTCGATCATTACAGGCCATGGTGTGGTTGCCTTCTACTTCACCATAGAAGCCGCCGGAGACCCAAAAAATAAAAAAATAAAAAAATAAAAAAAATAGAGAAACGCAAGTCCCACTTACATTTCATGTATTGACCGGAAATGTGAAAAACGTATTTCCCAAACATTTTTTTCATAATTTCGTTGCGTCATATTTTGGGAATTGTAGAAAGTTCCACATTTCAGTGACGGAAGTGTCGATCATTACAGGCCATGGTGTGGTTGCCTTCTACTTCACCATAGAAGCCGCCGGAGACCCAAAAAATAAAAAAAATAAAAAAATAAAAAAATAAAGAAATGCAAGTCCCACTTACATTTCATGTATTGACCGAAAATGTTTGGGAATTGTAGAAAGTTCCACATTTCAGTCAATTTCCCTCAATATTATACCATTTGGTTTTATTGGTTAATTATTATTATTATTATTATTATTATTATTAATTAATTAATTAATTAATTGGATACATAAAAGAAATGAGAAAATTGAATCCTTAAAGTAGAAACTAAAGGTGAGTACTTTATAGGGCTTTAATAATGTAATCAGATGCTGGCTTGGAGAGCCACTCACAAGCTGGCAATCTGGCCACCATATTGTGATTACATCGATTACTCGATTTACTAAAAACAAGTTCAATAGTTATATTGTAGTTTTTATGATATTTTTGTCATATTTATATAAGAGAGAGGAAGGAAGAGGAGGAAAAGAGAGAGAAAAAAAAAATAACAATCAAAAAATAAAAATAAAAAGATGTGCTAGGTGGTGCGTACAGTGAACGCGCACCTGCAAATTTACATTTTTCATTTCTTTTAAAAGTTTGAGTGAGGCTCACAAAAAATTATATTTGCAGGAGTAAATATTTCAAAAGAAATAATAATAATAATAATCACCTTTTCCATTAGTTAAAAGATCATAGCTTGGTCTTTTCTTCCTCAAAAACTGAACAAAACTCCTAATGGGGTTACTTTAATAAATTTAAACATAGATCAGATTGAAATGAAAAATATTATGGGTATATTTGGTTCGTACATGAAAATCAAATACTTGGTAATAATAAAAGATTTTGGTGAAAGTATTTTACATTTTGATAATGAGGTGGAATTAGAATGATTACCAATATTGTTGTTTGGTTAATACAAAAACAAAAAATTAAGACAATTTATTCTAATATAAAGACATCAAAGCACCAATATGAACAAAAATAAAAATAAAAACAAAAATCTAAAACCATTATCCAAACTTAAAAATCAAAAGGGGAATAATGGAGTGAACCTCTTATTTTGATAGAGAATGAGTTTTCTAATTAAGGAGTAACCAAATCCCATAGTAGTGTTCTAAAAATCCACCAACCAAACAATAACAATGACTTTCCTAATAGCTAAACTCATTAACCATACACACCCCAAGTGTTTTCCTAGCTAAAACCATGAACCATACACACCCCCAAGTGTTTCAAATTTTAATTTTTTATATGCAAATAGGCGATCCAACTACATAACAAACTGTAATTAAGCCATCAAACTCAAAAAATTACAATTAGATCTCCAAACAATACAAAATAATATAATTCAACTTAAAGTAACCTTCAAATAAAAAAAACTACAATTAAGTCTCGAAACAATGCAAAATCATATAATTTAACCTAAAATAACCTGTTGACTTGATTTGATAAGATGCTAACATGAGTACATGACAATTACTGAATTTAAAAATATTTTTTAAAATTTTATTTTATAAATTTAAATAAAATAATTACTTGAAAATTATACTACAAAGACTCGGGGCCAAAAAGATTATATATGAATATGAATATGAAGGTAAAGTAAGAAGAGTCCAAATAATGAACTAATGGTGTGGTGTAATTCACATACACAAACTACAGATTACAAGTATGGATTTAGAAGCAACTGGGATGAAGAGGAGGAGGAAGATTTCATCACCAAACTGCTACCAATTAAGTAGGTTTACGCCCTCAAATTTCGCCTCCGCCTTTTCTTGCTCCTGCGTTTTTGGCTCATTCTATCGCTATCTTTATACGGATCTACCCAGTCCTTGTCCTCGCTCACTGCTCGATCCCAGCGCTCCTTGAATCTTAGCAGCTCGTGTGTGGCCTCTCGCCGTATCTTAACGAGGCAATCGAGTTTTGTTTAATTCAATGACTAATCTACTTCAATATCAAAATAAGATGAAGACTGTAAAGAGAGAATAATGTGAAGTGTCTCACCTCGGATCTAACATCGACCACATGCTTCTGCAGAAAAAAACAACAATGTAGGAATGAGTTCATCGTTATATATAAACTACTTAAACATGAAAAGATGGCAAGGTATCGGGGACATAGAAACAAAACCCGTACTTTTAAATCCCGAGGATTTGAACCCTGAAACGAATTAGAAAGGAAAAGAATTATCAACAAAGACAATAACTCACAACAATGATAGAGAGATTGTAAGGACAATATAGAACAATTAATTACCCTTTTCAGTGATTTCCCACCCAAAGTTTGGATGCTCTGGTGGACTATATACTCACTGTCAACCACACCAACTTTTTTCGTCCGGTCCCCCTACAGAAGTTTGAAAAAAAATATGAAAACGAATAAAGCCACCCTCTTCCTCCGCCAAATAAGCATATCTATCAAAATGTAAATACAGTCAAATTTTATTACATAAGTAGAAGAGCCGGACGAACAATCTTACCTGCGCACAATACCCAAGCTTAATGTCCATTCCCCATCCATGAACAAGATCATTCTGATAGAAAAAGTAATCATTGAATATTCCATAACACGGATTTAAGTTCGTGAGAATAATAGAAAGGGAATTGTTTTTAAGATGCCTATTCTTTCTCACCTGTATAAGATGCCAAGCACAATGCCATGCAGATCTTGAGAAGACGGGAGCCATTCCTTCCACAAATCTGCAAACGTATAGCGATATAGGCATTTTTGTAAGCTATAACAAAGAACCACCGGCATTTGAGTCTTAATATATAGGCAGAACTAATACTTCTCTAAATACATTCGCCAAAAATAAAAATAAGCTATTTGTGAGGGAGAAGTTATATGATGCACATGCTCCATTAGTTGCATAGTTGCAAAAAGCCTAATTGCAAGTCGAAATTCAGAACGAAGAGAATTCTTGATTGGTCAATTTCCTGAAAGTTAATACCAGAAATACAAACAAGCTTACCCAGTGCAGGGAGGACCGTCATTAACTTCAGTACATCTTGTACTACCTCGACCCTCGTATACCCTTCTGCTTAAAGCAGTGTGTTAGTGTTGTTTGAATGATCAAAAGCGAAAAGTTTTGAATTCTTCCCCACCCAGCTTACCTATGAAATTTTTGTGATTTGCTTCTTATTGTAATTCGGTGGTGTATGCCAGTTGAATTCGGGGCCAGAGCTGGCTGAGATATCTCCAGTCCTTCTGACTTCACAATTTCAAGATATCTGCATTGAAAGAAGGCTCAGAGCCAATTAATTTTATTAAAAAAAAAAAAAAAAAAAAAAAAAAAAAAAAAAAAGCAAAAGAACAAAAAGAATAAGGTTTATGACATTTTGAATAGTGCACTGTAAATGTACCTTCCAGGGTGAAAGTTGGCTACACCCAAATCTTCGTCCCATAGGAATATGTAGTCATAAACAGATACAACAGCCGGATGTAGAAAACGCTTTGCAAACCACCTGAAAAGAAATTTAGTCACTACATTTAACTCATTAAGATATCAATAGCAAATACTCAAAATTTTATTGTCTCCGGTGAAGAAAGTTCGAATAGAAGAATACAATAAGGAACCAACTATATGCCTGCTCCTTACCATTTTGTTTGATTATGGGCAACTATATGAATGGCCTCTTTACTCCATTCAAGGTCCCACCACCCATCCAAATTTCCATCGTAATGGAACAAAATAATTGTGAAATTCTCTGGAAGAAACTGAAAGAGGAAAACAAAACAAAAACAAGGATCAGGCAAAGTATGTGTCGTTATAAGTTTCACAGCCCTCTCCACCAAAATCCCGAAATTAGAGACAAACACAACAGACCTTTTGAGCAATTGTATTGACATTATCTTTCTGTTTAATGCCAACTGGCATTGCCAACAGGTTATGAGAGCCTGGAATATTAGCCTGGAAACGGAAAGATAACATATGCATGAAATGAGTATAAGTCACGTATGGGCATTGAGTTAAAATCAAAAGCATATAACCTGAGATAGATGAAGGAAAAGAAAGATATAAATGCAATTATCAGCATTAAGTGGATGTAAATGTCTAAAAAGTTGCTTATTGATACCAACTCTGTAAGGAGAAAGATACCACCTTGGGCTTTGAGCTACTTGTTGACCAGAGAGGCATTAACTGAAGATCAGAACTAGCTTCTATGATACCATGAGGCAAACTACGTAACCCTGTGTCAGCCACACTAGAATCCTGGATTAAAGCATTGAAAATGTCTCAAAATGGCAAAGGGTGTGATGATGCTTAATTTCAGAAAATTATAATACAAATAGTACCTTTGAATTGTAGAAGGGGTCAAATTTTGACTCCATCTGATAAGAAAGAAAACATTATTAGGGACTATAAGCAAGGTTATTAAAAACTAATAATGAAATATTTCCACACCTAATTAGCCAATAGTAATAATTAAGTAGAACATTCATGCAAAATAAGAAGAGAGGTGCAAAACTCTTCTGTACGTTCTTCTATGGACTATGATGGGAATGGTTTTAGCAAGAATAGCACTAAAACATCTTATTCATTCCAAGATCAAACCTTCTAAATGCCCAGGAGAAAACAAAAGGGTAGGATTAATCTTTTGCCTCCTGGATGGTTATAACCAAAAAATCCTTGAGTTTTAATGAAAGCAGTATTAAGAAGTTCAAATAAATAAACATAAAATGCTACTACCTAACTTTGGATTATACTTTTTGGCTATTCTGCACATAAATCACCTAAATACAGAACATGCAAGATTATGAGAGATGTACCTGTGTCTGTTGATGCTGATAATTAGTGGTCCTATATACAATAAACAACATTACTGTACAAACAATTCCCATAAACGGCAATTGCTTCATCTTCAGTCCACATGTTCCCTGCAAAGTCATTTCCACAAGTTTAACACAATATAAATTCCAGTCTCTGTAAGTTGAAAATTAGGAAAGGATAATTCCCGGCAACTTAGTCTGTATAGGGAAATCCAAAATAACCATAACTACACACCAACATACCCCTTCAAATGAGTCGCCCCTTTTCTTCATAAGGGACTTCCATGATTTCATGTCCTTCATAGGTACAACTGATATTCAGAGGATGTCATTACCAGCTGTGAAATAAAAAATCCATTTTGAGTATGCATAAGAGTAGAATCAGAGAGAGAAAGAAACAAAAGATTTCTAAATCGGCATAGTTATATTAGATCGAAATATAGCTATTTCAAGATCAAGTATACATCGGCCCAAAGGAGAACCAAAGAAAAAGCCTTTCAAGCAGGTAAATACAACCCACATACAATGAACTATAATCAGCCTAATCAGCCTTTTGGGTTTATGTGGTTAAGTCAAATGCTCATTTGTCTATATTGGCATAGAATTCAGGAAAGTTGCATGCAGGTCTCTAATACATTGTTACAGTCAACAAAAAACAATTCTCATTGAGCAGGGGTTATGAGTAGAGTTACACTCAAACTAAAATTCAAAGTTCTGATTTTTTATTCTCATAAAAAAATCTCAGAAAATGAAGAAATCACCTTCCTCTTCCCCTGCACCGCTGAGGAGCCTCAATCCCATTTAATTTATACATACTTGAGACGAAATAAGTGAAATTTTTGTTATTTTTTGGGTTGAAATTGCATGCCAGAAAAACAATAAGATAATTTGGTAACATGCAATAAAAATTGTAGCTAAAAAATTGCTTCATTTTAATATGTGTGAGGCAACAGAAGCAAACCACATATGTTTGATCATTTATACTGAAAAATTAAACAAAACAGAGCTCTAATCAGATCAAAAACTGAACTTTTTGGTCCAAAAAGGAAAATAAATAATGAAAGCTCACATTGGTTGCTATAAATGTAGATTAGAATTATAAGAATGACCGGAATACAGACGATCTCCCGCATGCAACTCAACCCACGAATACTAACAAATCCAACATTGCGTTATTCCATTTATACCAGAAAGAACAAACAGTTCACCAAATGGATCTCGGCCCAACCTCCACCATCAAAGAAGCAATAAGAAACAGAGCAAGCATGAGTACCTGGACCCGAATCGAATGAACAGAGAAGATAAATCCAGACGGAAACGATGCTCCGCGGCTCCGATTCACCGGGGCCGGAGCGCCGCGTGGATGTTTCTTTTGGCGTAAAGAACAAGCTTATAGAGACAGCTCCTCGTACGTAGAGATACAGAAAGAGAGAAAGCGGTGGAGGTGAGAATATCTGTTGTTGTGTTACTGTAGAGATAGGTGGGAGTATAGTTTGATTTTGCAGATTGGGGGGTCGGGGTTCCCTGTGGGGTGGGGTGGGGGTGGGGTGGGTAGGGGAAGATGACGATGAAAGAGTCGCAGACGAAAGTGTCGGAAGCGCCACGTTGCGTCGCGTATCGCCGACGAGTGTTTGTGTCACGGCACCGCAGCTATTGTCGGAGGGATTTGCTCTTTCTCTGCTTCTCCTTAAATCTAATCATCAAACCAAAATTTTTGAGTGTGGAACGGACGCCCATAAGGATTATTTAATATGAATACCAGATTTATACATTTTTTATTAATTCGTAATAAATCAATTCATAAATATGTAATACAAAATAATTTTTATTCCCTTTTTAAGAAATATTCTCCCAAATTGCTTCCTTTTGTGATAGAGCAATATCAATATAAGTAGTTTTTTTTTTCGGGGTTTTTGAAGTGTCAACTAAGAAAGAGAAGAGCGAGAGAAAAAAAAAATGAGATTAAAAAAGAAAAGGAAAAAAAAAACAAATATGACGCAAAAAGAAAAGAAAAAAAATACAGTTATTGCACCCCGCTGGAGGTAGTAGCCTTCTCCCTTCTCTCCTGCGGGACCTACAAAAAATTTGAGTCTTGTTGGAGAAACTTACAATTCTCTATCCTCCACCTAAATCTAAAAACTGCAAAAATCTCCTCAAAAAACATTGATAGTGATGTCTAATTTTTTATTTACTATAGAATATGTCGTTGCTATTAAAATGTGTTTTAAGTGAAATTCTTTTAATAATTCTATCAATCAAAATATTATAGGAAGGTAAATCACCTTAAATTACTTATAGTTGATCGATTCAAATAAAAAAGGTTGTTTACTACGGAGTAAATTGTAACTAGTTTGATTTTATCAATCCAATTTCATCTTTGATTCCTATTTTATTACCAATAATAATATTATATTTTTGCTGAATTTACTAATTTGATTTTCTACTTCTAAATTTAACATGGCAGCATTGGAATAAAAAGGTATTGGAACATTTTTCGTTTTCCTTTTTTATACTCATAAATACTATAGTATTTAGGTTTAAAAAATGTAATTTTAGTAAGAAAATGACACTTTTATTTACTATTTATTATCATTTAGATCAATAGTTTATAAATAATTTTAAAATAATCACACCTTCACAATCTTAAATGATATACCAAATCCGTCATGTGACTCAATATGTATTGCTTATTAGGGAGTATTATATTTATTATGGCTTAGACCTAAATTTTTTAAAAGATTTTTAACGACATTTTATATTACACTGTATATATAGGCCTGACTTTTATAAGAAAAAGATTTTTTTTTTTGTGTGGTATCAATTTTATAAATATACACGGATCTAATAGATTTAACGATTGAAATTAATAAGGAAAAAAAGTGGGGGACTAATTTAATAAATATACATATTTTTAAGTGTGCACGCATTGCTAATTTTCGTGAATGTACTATTAAATATTTTTTAATACATCATAATAATTACAAAAATATTATCAATTTGTTACTTAATTTTCAGTGCTAATCATTCTAAATGAACATTTGCATTGGGTCAAATAAATTTGCATGTACATATATTCAATGAATTGGTTGTTTAGCATTAATTATAAAGAGCATGGTAGTATAATTAGTACTTAGTGGGAACGCAACATAGGCCCCCAGCTTTCATTTGTTTGTTGTGTGATTATTCCAAGGAGTAGATATGTTTTAAGATTATGGGTGACCAATTAAATTAGGGTCACCTTTTCAGGCACGGACTTAGGAAGCCTATGCAGTACGTTTTTGTGATTTCAATGGGTATTAGTTGGTAACTAAGTATTTGTAGACCATTTCATTTTCACTGCCTGCCGCCACCCTATAATATGGACCCATGAATAAGTAAACTGAGTCAACGTAACATTGAAAATCAACATCAAACTGTACACTTTTACGCATAATAAATCCACTAAATTTCTAATGTTTGTGACAGGAATTGAATATTGTCATGCCACTAGAAGCAATACACATCAAATTCTATATACAAATTAATTTTGCTATACAAAAATTATAGTTGTCCTTAATCGAGAAAATTTTTTTTGTTGTTATTTAATTTGGTTGATGCTAGTATAAGGATGAACCTATATTTAGTAAGATTTTAACTTTGGACATATAAATAAAACATCGTGTATTGAAAGAGTTTCCTTCAAATACGACTCAAATAAAACTCAAATTCACAACAACAACAAAAAACACTAAATATACATGCCTCATTTAAGAAAAATTTTAACTCTAAAAATCGAATAATTAAAATAATAGGTAAAATGTTTCTCAAAATACAATTTTAAGGAAAATCGAATTTGAAAACAAATGATAGGCAATGAATGCATTATGCATGTGTGGTATTTGTGAGATAGAAGGAGATTAGGATTTGGTAAATCTAGGGTGGTGTGAATAGGCATGAAATGTATGTCACCAAAATCATAAAAGTTAATTAGAAAATGATCGATCACACACATCATATGAACATTTTGCAGTGATTAATAATGCAAAACACCAGACGTGCGTGTGTGTACCTTTGTACAACGTAATGTGTTCAGAGCTTTAAAGTTAGTCGTGACATTCGATTTGCGTTTGTATCTGCATCCGTTACACTTAATTTTATTAATTAAACGAGATAAATATTATTAAGTCGAAATAGATAATAAATATTTTAACATAAAAAATAACACTTTTCCTTTAAAAAAAAATAACACTTTTAGTCCCTTAATTATTGTATAAAGGGTCAACAACACCTCCATTGAGACTTAATCTCATGATCTCCTATATTGGAGAGGTCACTATATGCCACATGAGCACAAGTTCTTTGGGTGGTTCTTGTTATTTAATTTGAACATATTTAATCTTTTAAGTGTTGATTATGTTGCACTTTTAGAGCATCCATAGTAGTTTAACTTCGGTGCGGGTTTTGAGGGGTTTTTGTAAGAGTGATTAGGAAAGAGAAGGTGGGGGGGAGAGAAAAAAGAAAAAAAAAAAACAAAATTGAATTTTAAAATTAAAAAATATATATATTAATGAGTGTTAGGCGTGCCGGTGCACGATTTTGGCCCTCACGCTCAGCGCGGGAGTGGAGAAAATTATTGCCTGGGTTTCACTTTTTGCAAATAACTTGTTTCTTGTAAGGGAGTTATTTTTTCTCTTTCTTACACTCTCTCTGCCAAATCAGATTGCACTGTGCTATTATCCTCAAAATATGCTCTGATATTGATGCTCTTAGTTCATATTATTGATGATAGGTCCAATAATGAAACGACCAAACGCATTATGTTGCTAATAACACGTACTAAAAGTCTAAAACTAATACTAGTTTTTTTTTTTTTTTGTTTTCAAAAGAAATAAAACTAATACTAGTTAAGTTATATCATTGGAGTAGATATTGTTATTACCCTATAATTATGAGTGTCATTTTCACTACAATTATTACTAAAATGTCAATAAAATGATTCAAACAAAATATATATTTTGCTACAATAATTTAACACTCGTGGTTAGTTACGGATCTCAATGATTGGGAAAACAAACCATGTTTCTTTTTTATAGTTCATAGCTAGGTATGGACACACCTACCATGCACCAACCAGAATACATAACACAGTGCTAAAGATAATGTGTATTTATTATAATATAGATATAGATTTGGTAAAGTTAAGGTATAAAACTCAAGTTATCTGCAGTAATTAAGTATATAATAAAACATGATTAAGTTGGCATGCGTTAAAAGGATTGAGTGAGTAAGTGAACATGATTTATATATAAGAAAATAGTTGAATTATTTTCAACATTTTTTCAGTCAAATTCATCATATAAGATTTTCATGATGAAATTTTTATTACTTGGTCTACATCTGCATCCAATATGTGAATTTGAAAATATTTCATTCACACCTTCTAAGGGTGTATATATGCCCAATCCAATTCGATCCTCTAATGACAGATTTGGTGGATCGAATTTTTCCTATAAGTAAATATGTATTCCATCAACTTTTAACGAATGCAGATCATATCGTAATAAATTTGACAAATTCATGTTCACCTCCATATATATTATTTGGAGTATAAAAATTGAATATTCTCATTACCTAAACGATATATGTAGTTGGGATTTGGGAATGGTCTAGTTCATCTTATTCCATTTTCTCTCTCTCCCCATTTGTTAATTAATTAGTTTATTATTTATGATAACTCAATGAGGTAGCTCAAAAGATAAAAAGAAAAAATTTGGAGTTCGATTTTTACAAGTGACGATTTTTTTTAAATTAGTTTCAGTGCCTCCTGGAGCGAGCGGGAATTAATCGAGTGGACTTAAACTATAAAACAGATATAGAAAGATCCAAAACACCTCGTGAGTTTAAAAATATATATATATATATATATATATTTATGGTATATGCATAGTTGCATATACTATAGAGCACTATTTTTCTTGGTATTAGCTGGGGGAGGTGGGAGTTGGTCCAAAGTGGGTATATGGTCAAGTCGGCGTAAAAGACTCTGCCGTAAGCATTCTCATAATCTATGAAATTATTGAATTTTTAAATAATATGAATATATTTTTTATTTTTGACCTTAAAAAAATAAACATCGTATTTTAGCAAAAGACCCGGGTCTGGTTGGACACGTGTGACATGGTCCTATTGTTATTATTTAAAAACCCATCCTCGATTCTGACAATCTCCAAGAATTCACAAAAGATTTCGATTTCATGAATTAAATACCGAAAAAAGTGGCTGAATTAGCATTTTCTATTGTTGGAAACTTTATTATTTTTTAATATCTATTTTTTTAATAAATAAATTTCTTTATATTGGTTAACTGCAACTCCGCAAGTAATTAGGTTTTATTTGACAATTAACCATTAGTGATTAGTAAATTATGTTAACAATTTAGATTAGTGAATATATTAGCTGTTTATGGAGAAAGTTTTGATAATATTAGCTATTTAATTTAGTGGTTAATATGTAAAAAGATGTATGAGGATATGTGTATAATAATAATAATTTATTAATTTATTATTTTGAGTCGGTCCTGATCAGTGCTAACCTAAATTTAGTGTCGGCTCGGGCTCAGCACGAGACCGGTCTAGATTCGAAATTTGACCACATCTAATAAGAATCATGATTTGTTCACTTCTTTTGAACATTTTATGTCGATTTTGATGAGTAACCTAGTGCATCAAATCATCGGTTTCTTCGAATATAAACAATTAGTCAACATGTAATCCTACAAAATGTTAGGTTTAACTGGTGAGGTTTTTGCCTATTAACAACTCCAAACTTACTCCATATACTGATATACATATATAAAATATATTTCAAAGTATTCTCAAATATCTATCTTTTTTTTTTTAAATGACGAGGGAAACTTGACTTCACTATACGAGGACATGCTTTAAGTAAATTATGTTCTTATATAATAGCCTGCAAACGACACCAAATAGGTAAACCGTACTAAAAAATTCATGTGTGATAAGCTCGACAAAAAGGGTATTAAAATCTTATAATTACTAAACCAACAACCCAACCAACTCGCTGGAATTACCATTTTTTTTTTCACTACATATTTTACCAGCAAAGACTTCAAGTCTTCAACTCATGTCTAGACCAGATGGGTTGACTTTAATTAGACATCAAACACAATATCAAGGAATGTATCTTAGGCCCAAATAGAAAGTTGGGCCTATATGACAAATTGGGCTTGACAAATATTGGGAAATATATACTGCTTTATTTGTGGATTTCTACCTTCAATCAATTTAATGCTTAGTATGATATTCTAAAAAAAAAATTAAAAAAAATTCCATTATGAACTAAAAAGGAGGGAAAATGTACATTGTTTCACAGTTCTAAGCTAAGCAATTATACTGGCCGGAAAAAAAAAAAAAGGAATATTCAGTTGGCCGGAAAATTTGGTGTTCACCTTAATTCAGTCTTTGCCGGGTCATTTTCCTTTCCTTCGCTACAGGCTTAGATCCCATCTCTCCCTTTGACATAGTTTTATGCAAAGAATCTTCCTTCTCCGAAGCTCGATGGCGCCAAACTTGATTCCCCGATGCGCGCTTCCCCGCCTTCCCGGGTTGCTTGCAGCCTCTCTTTGCTGTCAAGAGTGATTGCAATGGAGGGCTTGAATCAGGAGGATCACTCTGTCTTTTGATCCCTTCAAGTGACCTAGGAACAGCATTCTTGTTGTTGTTGTTATTGTTGTTGTTCGGCAACATGGCTGGCGGGATTCTTTGTTTGGTTGGGCGGGGCCTGGCGCTTCGTGGCTTCACGGGAGGACAGCATATGGTCGGCAGAGGGAGCAGAACGAAGGCGGTTTTGGTGTAGGACCCTCGGTACAGCTGCTGGCGGTAGGCTTTGGTGACGAGATCTCTCAGGGCCAGCGCTGCTTTGTATTCCCGAGTTCTCTTCGAGTAGAATACGAGGGCGTTGTTTGCCAGTAAAAGCAGGTCCCTGAAGAGCTCTACAGATGATTTGATCGAAAGGGTTGCTAGTTTTGATCTTATTGTTTCCATGTCCATATGGCGTCTGATTATTTTCTTGTACCTCGCTCGCTTCTGGGGCCCATTATATGATTGTGAGTGAGTAACGTGAGTTCACAGATAGCATAAAAATCTGGGAATAAGAACATAGAAAAGCGGGTTTTAAGTACCTGACTATCGAGGCGATGCCTAAAGACCAAAGCGGGTTCTCTCTGTGCAATGGAGTTAAAGACGTCCATCAAGCCGTTGTTCTTCACACTACACAAGCTTCCTTTATGATTATCGAGGCTGGAAGGTCTTCTAGTCTGGTCACACCCGACTGACGCTTCCTTGCTGGGAGAAATCGAGGCGGCACTCGTCGAACACACGTTTTCGCTCTCGCCAATGCTCCCTTCTTTGGAATCCCAAACTCGGTCCTTCCTCTTTCTACAGCCTCTTCTCTTCTTCACCGTCCCTCCGTGTTTATTGCCCGCCAGTTTGCTTATGCTCGCCACTTTCTCCCGCTCACAACTCTCGGATCCTTCCATCTTCGACTCGGTCTCTGTGGCCGATGTCAAAGCGGGAATTTGACATTCATGTGACTCATCCGTTCTGATATTTTGGGTGAAGCTGCCAGCCGATAGGCCGTCCTTGGATCCCTCCTTTTGGAATAACTCAACACCCTCGGATTTTACCAAAGGAACGGGTGATTCTGCTTGGCCCGAACGCTCTCTCTCAGCCTTTAGAATTTCTATCTTCGACTTGAGCGATCTGAGATGGAAATGAAGAAATGCAATCCATTTGAGAGTCGAGAAAGAGAAATCCGAGAAGAACATAAAAACGCGATTGTATGCAGTAGTGATGACACTGGAAACTAATATATATAATTTGCGTATCCAAAGTTCCATATAGTTTAACCTCAATTGAAACGGAAAGATTATAAGTACTAACCCAATCGAACCTTCAGATCTCTCCAATTCCCGTTTCAGTTCTTCAATTCGACGCTTTCTTAGCTCTTCGAACCAAAACCTGAGAGATTAAGCAAGAGCAGCAAATTTATTAACATAACAAAAATACAAAACCCTTATAGATCAATTAAACTACACTTTCACCGAATTTTCCATTTCTCTGACAAATCGATCTTCAGTTACAGAGCCAAATTAAAGACATAATGCATACAAACGATTGAACCAACCTAAGCACCAAACCCTCGTCCAAGCACAAACGGAACAAGTTTTGGATCATATGAATCATTATTCGATAGTTACAACACGTAATGAAATTGAATCACATAACTTACTTGCAGCCAGAGTACTGCTTTCGCAAATCCTCATACCTGGCCTTGCAAGCCTGTAATCGTAAAAGTTTCAAACTTTCAATCAAATTCAAACGCAAATGCAACAACATAAGCATTCCTCTCTTCACAAATTCACGCCCAGAAATTCATACTTTTTCGATAATTTCTCCTGTTTACATGCATTTACAGACCAATGTATGGATACAGATATTAATTTTGATCATCTTCAAAGATATGTTTGCAATAAAGCTTTCAACTTGTTGCATTTAGGACATTTCGCTATATAAACTTTCACTTTTTTTTTTGTTTGAAATTATGACAGATTTTATTTCCATAAGAAATGAATCCAAGATTACACTTGTTAAGGTAGAACATATAACAACGTCCTTCATAGTATACAAGAATATGATTAACCAAACATTCAAAATGTACATAAAAAATGAATCATAGTTCTAACCTCGGGGGTGAAGTTGTTCGGGTAGACCGTCCGGGCCCGGAGCTCCGACGCGACGACGTTCCAGTCGTCCGTACCATGCCGGAGAACGGCACCGCCGAGGATAAGCTCCTCCCAGGTGCCCCACCTCATCTTCTTCGGCCCCACCACCATCGTGGACGCTGACGGAAAATTCTTCAATTCCCACGTGGACGGCCCAGATAATTCTTCACCACCTTTTGCAATTTAAAAATAAAAAATAAAAAATAAAAAAACGCTCCGGTTTTACGAAACTTCTGGAGCACGCGCAACCGCCTGGAAAGGCGAACTTTTTCGCCGAGAAAATGAAATCAAAAAGAAAGACGGCGGCGAGGCTAATATAAGGAGGAAATGGAAATTGGGAAAAAACCTGGAAATAGAATTTTTTGATTGCGGGATGCAAAAGGCGGGATTTTGGCGGGCGGTTTTGGGAATTTTCAATTCTTGTGGGGTACGGCAGGGGGGGAGAAAATGAGTTGAAAGTATTTGAGAATTTTTTATTTTTTTTTCAGGTGGCGAAGAAGAAAACGATGAATTCAACAATCTCAATCCAAATTTCCCAATGCGAAAAACATGGAAGACGAAGACGAAATCAACAGATATTTATTCTCTCTCTCTCTCTCTCCATCGGAATCTCAGATTTTGCAGCCATTTCGGTAATCTCTTCCTTTTTCCATTTCTCTCTCTCTCTCTCTCTCTCTCTCTCAGTCTCTCTGAGCGAGATGGCGCTTTTTTGGGCTTCCGCAGTTGAGATTACCGAAATGACCCTGTCTTTTGAAATTTGACACGCATGTCCTCCTCCTCCTCCTCGTATCGTGTGATGTTTCGAATTGTTTCAATGACGTGGCATGATCTTAGACCGTTGGCAAATGTATAACCAATCATATAGTTTGTATTGATTTCATTAAGGTGCCGTGAGTAATTAGTACTCCCTAATTAACATTCATTTCGTTTTCCTGGACATCATTAGGGATGGCAATGTGCCCCGTCCCCGTCAGGAATCCCCGCCCCCGTAGGGGATGGGGAAAAATTTCGGGAATCGGGGACGGGACGGGGAATTTTTGAAATTTCCCGGCGGGGATGGGGACGGGGACGGGGATAACCCTCCCCGCCCCGTCCCCGAATAATTATTATAATTAAAATAAATAAATAAGTTTTATATATATATATATATATATATATTTATATATATATATATATTTAAAAATTAATACTTCAGTTTTAAATTTTTAAAATTAAAAATTACACTAATTTAAGATTTTTTATTAAAAATTGACCGGGGATGGGGAATCCCCGTCCCCGCCAAATTCCCCGCGAGGACGGGGATGGGGACTATTTTCAATTCCCCGCCAGGGATGGGGACGGGGACGGGGACGGAGTCGGGGTTTCGGGGACGGGGACGGGGAGTATAGTCCCCGTCCCCGCCCCGCCCCGTTGCCATCCCTAGACATCATTAATTCATCCCGGGTCATAAAATGAACATTAATAATTAATGAATGCTTATTTTATCATATATATTGCGGAGTAATAATTACACGTTAGGTAACCTTGATTTGTAGTAATCATATTTTTTAATTAATTTTTATTAAAGTCCCAAACCAATTAAACCCATTGAAAGTGAAAAAATAACAAAAGAAAAATGTGAAGAGATAAAAATTTCATTATTAAAAATAGAAAAAGTCATGAGAATGATTAAAAGTGTCCAAAAACAGTAATCAGGAATGTAAAATGGCAAAAATGATAGTCTGGGACTAAATTTGGAATTGTCACCAAAGACAAAGGACCTCCGGTGAAATTAACTCTTTAATAATAGAGTGAATTTCATTGTTGGTCCTACTGTTATAGGAGCGTTTCCAATTTCAGTTCACTTTAACTTTTTTTGCCACTTTACAACCACTGTTATTGAATGTGTTCCACTTTTAGTCCACAGTTAATATTTCCGTCAAGAGGCCGTATAATCAAAGAGTATTTTGATCTTTTTATGTTTGTCTTTTCTCTTTTAATCCAGGCGCTTCGTCCTCCTCCTCCGATATTCGAAGATGGCTCTTCGAACAACGATAATGGGAAGCCAAAGTTACATCGTTTCGTTCATTCCAACATGGGTCGGCGAGGTTTCTTAGGTTTTAGGTTTAATGTTCTCATTTCTTTAGTCAAACATAGTCTTGGATGAGAAGAAATGTCAAAATACCCCTGGATTACAGGGTCTCTTGATGGAAATACTAACGGTGGGACTAAAAGTGGAACACATTCAATAATAGTGGTTATAAAGTGACAAAAAAAAATTAAGGTGGACTAAAATTGGAAACGCCCCTATAACAGTAGGACCAAAAATGAAATTCACTCCTTTATAATATATGCTAATAGTATGTTGTGATGTTCAACATATTAACCAATTTAGTATTGTTAAAGACAAATACATTTCAAAATGATTTTTCATGATTAATGTTTGATTTTATTGTTTTTAAAAATATTATCAAAAACTTACTTAAATTTTATCTCGTTCATCGCATGGGAGCAAATTCTAGTATATATATATGGCAAAAATTTGTGTGAGACCGTGAGACGGGTTGAATCAATATGACATGTAATACTTATACTGAAAAATGCAATGTTAATTATGAATAAAATGTTTATTACTTACATGATCATAATAAAGAGACTAGAGAAGTGTTCATTTGAAAGACTATCTTAGTTGTGTAAATAATTTAAAAAGTTTTATATTTTTAAAAAATAAATTTTCAATCTTTATCGTACTCTTTTACCCAATTGATAGAGCTGGAGATTGATGACAGAATAGAGATGCTGGTAAATGTTGATAAAAAAAAAACATTAATGCTAATGAGATACAGATACAATAATTGTGACAAATTCACTTTCACATTCATTCTTGATTATGTTAAGATTAAAAGTAAGTATCATAAAATAAAATAAAAAATTGATGTTTACACATATTCTTAGAAATAATGACAAATTTATTTCAATTAAATATTCGAAGATAAAAAATTATTTGCAAAATTAAAATTAAAAATTGATAAGATAAAATTTACCTTTTTAACAACGTGACAAAATATGATTAATTACATAATGTTTATACATCCACAATACATTAAATACTAAATATAAAGAATGTTAAACCTATTGGGGAGATTTTTCTAATTATGTGGAAATAGTCCACCCAAAAGGGCGCAAAAAAAAGACGGGAACTCAGAGGCGCTGTTATCATCCGTTAAGTTCTGACAAACTGCGGCGACCCAATCACCACAAGAGCGCTAAACGTCATCACTGCTCCACGAGTGCACCAGCCGGGAATCGAACCCGGGTCTGTACCGTGGCAGGGTACTATTCTACCACTAGACCACTGGTGCTGCTTGTTCTTTTTAGTTGTTTATTTATATTAATAATATCTAATACATTTAGTATAGGTAAAACAGAATCTCCATCTATATATCATTTATTTTTATTATATATATTATGTTAAATATAATATATATCAATATTATAGAAATTTCTTAAAATATAAATAATTTCACTTTTGATATAGTTAATACTCGTGTACATAGGATGTATATATAGAGAATATATTGTATGTATGAACAATGCATGTAAGCTCAAAGGTCCTTCCCTTCACTTCCACTAGCTCTACTCTCTCTCTCTCTCAACACTTAGGGACGAATTTTACAATTATCCTATAATTTAGGGACGAAAAATACATTTTTTTTTCTAATTTTAATATCATGTTTGGACCAAGACCCACAATGCAAAGTGATGATCCATAATAGAATTAGGAGGCAACAGTCCCTATTGTCCCCTCTTTGAATCCACCATTTCACCCATGCCTAGTTACACACTATGCCTTTAGAAAACAAAGGGAGAAAATAACTCCAAAAAGGTAGAGTGAGTAAATGAAACATATTCTCATCAGAATGTCACGAGTTCGATTATTACTAACACTTTTTCGATTGAGTTCGTCAAACAAAGTCTTTATAGTGTGATTTATCTCCAAAGTAATTCACATTTCAATATTTCATACCCAAGTAATTCAGCCAAGTGAACTATACATTTCATGAACTACTGGGATGGCTACCCATACATCTCATTGAACTTGATTATTACATGATCTACATGACTATATATGCACTGCTGACACAAACATACATACAAACTTCAGTTCATATTCTTCTTGCAACCATATCTACAGACCTGAAACTGTGTGAAAAGCGTTACCTTTGCTTGTCAACTCAGCAGCAGGGATACACTATATAGATCTGATCACATTTCTAGGCAATACTATGATATCCAAATTGTTGGGAAAAAGGCACTCATTCATGAGTAACTTGTTAGGCAGGTGGAGTTGCTATACTGTTCTTTTGGTTTTAGACTGGAATGGATACTGAGGATGAAGCAGACTATGGTTGCTGAAGAACAAGGTTTAGTTGATGTGCACATTTTGCCAGGGAACCGCCTCTCCTACAGATACAATTTACACGAGAATACGAGATATAGATGAGTGGCAAGATCTACATGAGAGTTTTAATGATTTTGTCGGTGTAAATTTGCATTTGGACAAAAAGTGCAATGGTAGTGACTCCACGGTTACCATTCTGCGTGTTCCAAAACACAGAGCATTCTCGACTTCTCGTGTTTGGAACACATTGTGAATTTCATTTCAAGAAAGGGTACTTACTGTATAAGTGCTGGAATAGTGTTCTGGATGATTTGAAAATGCGCAATGCACTGTCTGCAACACTCGATTCTGCAGAACAAAGAGCAAAATCCCTTATTACCTGATCCCTTTTGTTGGATTTACTGCCAACCCCACAAGGTAAAGGAAGAATAAAAGGAAAGTATAATCGGTTTCTTGGCTCGACCAAACCTTTCCTCTGCGTGAAGATCAACGCCTACAGGTGGAGGTGCTGAAACCGCTGATTGGACTACTGGACCGAAGACTGCCACAAGCTTCAGTAGCATTTCCAAAGAAATGAATGCTTGCCTATGAAAACAGAAATACAAAGAGAAATAGGGATTATATTAGGCCAAGTAAAATGTCATTAGAGCAGAAAGAACAAGAACCAGCGTTTGTAAGCTTGAGTCAGATATAAAATGAAAGCACCAAAAGCTATCATTATTCAAGAAAACATAGCATTTTGCATTTCACTTAATTATAGGCACATATAATATCAGTTTGATAAATATTTATCATAATAGAATAAGAAAAGAATCCAGATAAGAGATTACAGTTATAAGAATGGCTTGATCATATCACATAAAATGACGGAACACAGACTCATAGAATAGACGTGGTTACAGTACCTTTCAACCTTGCTATCTAGCAAGTCCAATAGCACAGGAAGCAAGGCAGTGAATAGATCCAGCGTGATAATCTCCATTCTATCCGTGAGAACACTAAGTATGTCTGCTTGTGCCTGCATGGCAAGGACAATAGTTTAAGAAATGCATGAAAATTTTATTTTCTTATTGGAATTCATAGTAACAAATTAAGAAAAATGGCGGGATATTTTCCATCAAATACTTACTGATTGATCTGGCAACTTCTTCAAGGCACCAATAGCACCCTTAATATCATTCCTTTCCCAGAAGTGCCGAACAACCTGTAAGGTATTCATAAGATTGTTATTGAAGACATAAAATTGAGACAGATACCAAGTTGGAAATAGATGAGCCAAGTCTAAGGATCATTAATAACACATAAAGTAGTATTTAAATAAAAATTGCTAGTAGCTGAGCAAAAGCAAGTATTACAAACAATTCTGAATCATCAACTAAAAGGTACCTGTAATTTTGTAAGGCGCGATCTAAACATACTTAATAATATGTCATGGTTTTGAATCAAACTTTCAATGATATTACTATCACATTCAGCTGTCTCAGCACTTCCCACGGTTTGCTGATT